AATATCCTTACCTCTATTTTTAATTACTGCATTTGTAATGTTATAAGACTCGTGTAAAATTTGCTCACAATATTACTGAATGAAAGAAGTTTCTCCCTTTTTTTGTTTTGAGACAGGGTCTCACTATGTTGCCCCATGTTGGTTGCAAACTCTTCTCCATGCCTGACCTTATGAATAACTCTCTAATTTGCTATCTAATACTGCATAAATGATAATTTTTTTCTTAAAAATCTATAAAATGAAGCTGGGTGTGGAGGCACATGCTTATAATCACATCACAACCACTCAGGGGGCTGAAGCAGGAGGATTGCAAGTTTGAGGTCAGCCTCAGCAATGTAGCAGGACCCTATTTCAAAATAAAAAATAAAAAGGCTGGGCATGTAGCTTAGTGGTAGAATGACTTTGGGTTTAATCACTATCAACACACAGACACACACAGACACACACACACACAAACACACCTATGAAATGAGGATAAATGCTTTTGATGTTTTTTTGTTGGGGGGACCAGGGATTGAACCCAGGGGTGCTTAACCACTGAGCCACGTCCCAGCCCCCCCCACACACTTTTTTTTGAGACAGGGTCTTGCAAAGTTGCTTCGGGCCTTACTAAGTTGCTGTGGCTGGCTTTGAACTTATGATCCTCCTGTCTCAGTCTCCCAAGTTGCTGGGATTACAGATATGTGCCACTACATTGGCATTTTTGGTGTTTTTTTTTTTTAATCTTTTTAGTTGTAGATGGACGTAATACCTTTATTTTATTTTATTTATATTTATTTTTAATTTATATTCATTTATTTATTTATATTTATTTTATTTATATTTATTTGTTTATATTTATGTGGTGCCAGGGATTGAACCCAGTGCCTCAGGCATGCTAGGCAAGCGCTCTACCACTGATCTACAACCCTGGCCATGGTGCTTTTTTATAACAGTGGAGACTACACTATTGATGACAGGTGTCATGTTTTTTCTTTTTTACACAAGAAAGATAAGCAATACATCAGATATTAAGCTATCATTAAGCAAAATTATTTGAGTTTGAGATATATTTACCAACCCTAGAAATGTTTCATCTATGCATTTCACTATATTAATAAATTAAAGTAATAGAGTAGCTCAGTGGTAGAGCACTTCCCTAGCATGTGTGAAACTATGGGGTCAGATCCTTAGCAACACACACACATACATAAAAAAAAAAAAACCCACAAAAATAAAATAGCAGAGATGTTTTTAGTTCTCCACAAACTTTTGTGAAATTTATTTTATTTTTACATGATGAATCTAATAGATTAAAACAATACAACAAAACAAGCGCTTCCACTGGGCTGGCAGTGGTTATCAAAACCAAGTTTAGCCAAAGCTGAGCAACGCAGAAAAACAAGGGACAAGAAAAAAGGAGAAAACTAGCAAAGAAAGAACATACCAGTGTAGTCTACCCAAAACACAGAGGTAGGAAAAGTTTGTAGCCAGTGAGGTGCAGAATCACTGATGGGGGAGAAATGATAGGGAGATTGGGAAACAGAGGACTGAAAAAAACAAATAGCAATATGTGGAGATGAGTAAGCTTAGGTGCCTTAGTGGCTCCCAAGGGCATGAAAATTACTATTCCAGTGTTTAGTTATTAAGAAACTGTGCTCACAAAAGGAGGGAAGCATACACAATATTTCAGAAACAACTGTAGTAAAACTAGCCAAGTGTGATAGCCTAAAGATAATCCAGAAGGCTAAGAACTGTATCTGATCCCTCACTGCATCTTCAGCATTAGATAGAGAGCTCTTAATAAATTTTTAATGCTTACTTTTTAGTTATAGGTGGGCACCATATCTTTATTTTATTATTTTATTTTTATGTGGTGCTGAGAATCGAACCCAGCGCCTCACACATGCTAGGAAAGTGCTCTACCACTGAGCCACAACCCCAGCCCTCTTAATAATATTTTACTGAAAGCAAAACAAAGTGTTTGAATTAAAAGTTATGTTTGTACTTAAATTTTAAAAAATAGTATTTAATTTTTAATTTTAAAAATTAGGAATTAGGGCATAATTCGGTGGTAGAGAACTTGGGTTTGATCCTTAGCATCAAACAATAAAATAAAAAAATTTGTAAGTTTGCACTGATAAGCAAAAAACCCCAATGACCTAGATATTTTAATCCAAACCCTCACTCTATTTACTTGTTTGTTTATCTATTTATTTATTATATTTGTAGATGAACTGCATGCCTTTATTTATTTTTTTTTAATGCAGTACTAAAGATCGAACCCAGTGCCTCACACATGCTAGGCAAATGCTCTGCCACTGAGTTACAGCCCCAGCCCCAAACCCTCATCCTTAAGGATTAAGATAACAGTAAGCATTAGTGATTTTTAGCTCTGAAACTTCAAGACCTCCTCTGCTGGCAGTTACATTTTACTAAAGCATACCTCTCAAAATAGAGAAGGGATTAATTAAGTAGACAGAAAGCGAATATTTAACCATCTATTTAGCATTATCATAGGAAAGTAAACTAGTGTTGCTAATCATATGTATCTTTTGGGGTCCCTAAAATATCCTAACTTAATATTGCATTAGAATTTTAGGGGGCTGGGGATGTGGCTCAATCGGTAGCGCGCTCGCCTGGCATGCGTGCAGCCCGGGTTGGATCCTCACACCACATACAAACAAAGATGTTGTGTCTGCTGAAAACTGAAAAATAAATATTGAAATTCTCTCTTCTCTTCTCTTCTCTTCTCTTCTCTCTCTCTCCCCCCCTCCCTCTCTCTCTCTTTAGAAAAAGAAAAAAAAGAAAGGGCACCCCTCTATATGAGGACTCAGTCCATAGAGGAAGGTACCCCTTTTTTTAAAAAAAAAAAGAATTTTAGGAAAAGGGGTCATTTGGTATTAATTTCCCAGAAAAGACAACCTTGAGCCTTAAGTACATATAACTTCCACTGCTAGCTGCTATTTTAGGAGGAAAAGAGACACTGTTTTATGAGTTTGAGGAAGGAATATGCCATTTAATACACAATAGTAACTCAATAATTTGCTAATTCCCTGTACCAAAGATCTAGTTAAAATAAGCAAGACAGGGCTGGGGCTGTAGCTCAGTGGCTACTTGAGGCACTGGGTTCAGTCCTCAGCACCACTTAAAATAAAGTCATTCTGTCTATCTACAACTACAAAAAAATATTAAAAAAAAAATAAGCAAGACAGGGACTGGGGTTGTGGCTCAGTGGTAGAGTGCTTGCCTGTCATGTGTGAGGCACTGGGTTCAATTCTCAGCACCACATGTAAATAAATAAAATAAAGGTCTATCAACAACTAAAAAAATTTTTTTTAAAATATTTTTTAGTTGCCAATGGATTTTTAACTTTGTTTATTTATATGTGGTGCTGAGGATCGAACCCAGGCCTCACACATGTTAGGCAAGCGCTCTACCACTGAGCCACAACCCCAGCCCCTAAAAATTTTTTTTTAAAAAGTAAGACAATAAATATTGTATCAAACACTTTATCATAAACACTATTGAGCTGTTATTTAAAAATGACTTTTAAAATTGTGGTGAAATGAATGATTGACGAATGAATAAAAAAATAAATAACATAAAATTGCCATTTTAACCTTTTTAAATATACAATTTGAAATGTTGTATAGCCATTACCACTATTTCTAAAAATTATCATCACCCCAAACAGAAACTCTGCATACATTAAGCAATATTAAATAATTTTGTTAAGAGAAAATCAAGAAGCAAAACTCATAGTTTGTGGACAACTAGTTATAAATTACAATCCAGTGATCTGGTTAAAATAAACAGAAAAATGAACAGTAGAACAAGTGCTTTACTAAAATCTACCTAATTTTGTCAAAGGGAAAAAAAAAAACAAAACAACTAAGAAGAAAAACCATACTCTGGAGAATTGACTAAAATGGCAACAAAGGAAGCTAGTAATATAATAGTTAAATTACCTCAGAAAGCTTTTCAGAGAATTCTATATTTTTTATATACTTTTGCTTTGCTACTTTTAAAATTTTCTCTGAGGTCATTTTTTCAATGATAATGCTAAATTAAAATATAACGGGTATAAATGGAACATAAAGCCAATTTGAGAAAAAATTAGGGTTAAGAAAAAGAAAGTCTGCTTGAATCCTAATTTTCAGAAAAGCAAGCAGGTTTAGAGAGGAAAAAAGCAACTTTAGGAGACTGGTGAAATGGTAGAATCCGTTTTGGAACCAAGGCAAAATGATTCCACTATTCCCATCACAGCAGCCTTGGTGAGGGGGTGAGAGTTTTGGTATGGCTTTTATCTTTCCTTTTTCTGAACTTCTTTACTGTACTATCAAACAAAAGAGAAGGCCTTTCCTTGACCTTTTTTTTCCCCCTCCCTGCAACTTAATAGCTTAAAAATTTATCTACTACCTGCCAGTCTCATTATATTTTAAAATGCTTCCTTCATCCTGTTATACTGTTTTAGAGAATTCTAAAAATATATTAACAAGAGGAAGAAACTATATGTAAGAGTACATACTATATGTAACCTTATAGACATATAAGAAGAAACATAAGATTTCCTTAAAGAATGTGACTATTTGTCTTCATCATAATTCCTGGGTATGCCAAATAAAAACAATAAGACTATTTAAAAAATCATGTTCATAATAATACTCATTGTATCTGGAGACATGCAATATAACTTCTTAAAATATAAACATAATGATTACAAGTTATTTTATTCAATACATACAAAAAATAAAGATAGTAACAAGGGCTGGGGTTGTGGCTCAATGGTAGAGCGCTTGCCTAGCATGGTGAGGCACTGGGTTCAATTTTCAGCACCACATTTAAATAAATAAACAAAGGTCCATCAACAACTAAAAAAAAGATAGTAACGATAAAAAGCTCATTAACTAAAAATTTTCCCTCATGTTTCAAACCATGTTTGAAAACTTAAAAAAAAAAGCAATATTTTGTACATGTATCAGCTTTTAAAATTTCATTTTACTTTATCTCTAATTTACCTCTGCAATCTCTATCCTTCTGGCAAGATCATCAAGAGAAAGACAGCTATCATCAGAAGGCAGATTCTCCTGTAGACTGTAGGATGCTTCCTCAGGAGAAAGATCCTGAAGGAGATCAGAATCCTCGTCTTGGCTGTCTTCATAGGAAAGAGGATTTTCAGTATCTTTTAAGCATCCTTCCAAAAGGCTGTTCAAATAGTCTTCTGTTTCCTTATTGACTTGGTCTTCCTTATCTCCCTTTTCCTCTGGGGCCATATACACTTCTGGAAGCAATGTACTTAAGTCAGATATTTTATTATTTTCACAAAGTACATTCTCTGAGCCCTCAGAGTCAGTCTGGCCCTGTGGCAATTTTCCATCACTGTCTGTGAGATCAGGTTGCTGCAGCTCATTTAATTCATTGTTCTCAGGCTGGTCCTCTGGCACCGCCTCAGAAACATCCTGAAGGGGCAACTGGAGTTCTTTCCTTCGTGACTGTGAATATTTTCCCTTGGAATTCAACACAGGACATGATATATGGTCACAGCCTGGTAAGATCAATGGTTCTCTCACTGACTCACCAGAAGGTAACACCTGAGGGTCTTCAGCAATGCCCCCTGTTTTAGCCACATCTGGTCGGTCCTCTGTGGCAGCAGCCTGCAAGCGTCTGTCATTCTCACAGGCATTCTCGGAAGAGTCTGGCTCTGACCTGCTCCAGGCTGTCTCGGAGGGCTGGGTGTGGAGCTCCAGCGTGGCTTCAGTGCTGCAGAGCGGCTCCGTGTGGTCCTTTCCTGCAGTTACTGGAAGGCTTGGGGAATTTGCCTGTCCATCCATCTGATTACAGCTGGGCCTGCTTTCCTGAGGCTCTTCCGTATGTTGGCTTTTTTTACTTGGTTCCATGCCCAGACAAGTTTCACTCTCTAAAGAAGAAAACAAATAAGCTGTTTTAAAATTCCAAACAATGCTTTGTATGGAAAGGAAGAGAAAGGATGTATGAATAACATGGAACACAATATTCTAACCTCTCAAATACAAATTCTATCTGTTGCATTATAGTGTTCTTAGAGAAGACATACCCAAAACATTCAGTAAATAACCCTTTACATATTAAAATTAACAGACATTATTCAAAATCATGTTAAGGTGAATATTTAGTTATCAATATAATTGAAAAAGTAAAAACCTTATTAACTTAATACCCTTAATAAATGGTATTTTGAAATTGCAACTTCTTAAAGCAGGGCAGCAAAGGGTAGCAATAAAAGAATACGTTATGGGGCTGGGGTTGTAGCACAGTGGTGGAGCACTTGCCTAGCATGTGTGAGGCCCTGGGTTTGATCCTCAGCACCACATAAAAATAAATAAATAAAAATAAAGGTATTGTGTCCAACTACAACTAAAAAATAAATATTTAAGAAAAATAAAGGTATTGTGTCCAACTGCAACTAAAAAATAAATATTAAAAAAATTTTCCTTCATAATATGACTGGAGATGTGGCTCACACCAGTCTAATTCCCAGTACCCAAACAAAAAATACATTAAAAATAGTAAAAAAGAACTAAAGTAAGCTGGGCATGCTAGTGCATGACAATAATTCTAGGGATCTGGAAGGCTGAAGCAGGAGGAACAAGTTTGAGGCCAGCCTTAGCAGTTTATCAAGATGCTTAGCAAGTCAGTAAGACCCTATCTCAGAGTAAAATATAAAAAAGACTGGGAATATAGCTTGTATATACACATGGTATGATATATATATACAATGAAATTGTATCATTTTCAGGAAAATGAATGTAACTCATTATGTTAAGTGAAATAAGTCAAACAGAAGGTCAAGGGTCACATATTTTCTCACATATGCTGAAGCTAGAGAGGAAAAGGAAAAAAAAAGGTGGTTGTGGGGGTTGGATCTCATGAAAATCAAAGGAAGATCAGTAGGGGAAAGGGACCAAGGAGCGGGTGGTTGAGATGGAGGTGGGAAGTGTTAGGGAGTGATACTGGCCAAATTATATTGTTATGCTATATGCATGCACAAACATGAAACAATAAATCCCACTATTATGCACAACTACAATGTACCAATAAAAATGTAAAAAAAAATGTTTTTCTTTCAGAGCTGGGTTGTGGCTCAGTGGTAGAGCGCTTGCCTAGCATGTGTGAGGCACTGGATTTAATTCTCAGCACTGCATATAAATAAATGAAAAAAATAAAGGCTCGTCAGTATCTTAAAAATATTTAAAAAAATATTTTTCTTACAAGATAGATAAAATAAGAATTTTATTCTGTTTGCTTTTTCGTTTAATGGGTACTGTATAACCAACTAACAACTGAGGCCACTACCATACCAAAGAAAAGGGAATTCTTAAATGCTATATTAAGATTTCAGGGGCTGGGGTGTGGCTCAGCGGAAGAACGCTCATCTAGCACATGGGAGGCCCGGGTTCGATCCTCAGCACCACATAAAAATAAAATAAAGGTATTGTGTCCACCTACAACTAAAAAAATACATTTAAAAAAACACAAGGCAGACAGACCTCCACATCAGAGAAATAGGGTGTGCTACCCCCAGCTGAGGTCAGTTATTTTTGGGACAAAACAGCAGATCAGCTGGTCCTTCTGGATTCACCATGCTTCCCTATAACAGAACAACCTGATTCAGCCCTAAGCACTAATCTAGGTAGCTCCAGCTGCAGTACCCTCTGCTCCTAGTCCCGGCAGTTGGATAGCAGAGAAGAGCTTTGAATAAAATGAGATTTAGGTGTTCTAATGAAGTTTGGAGTTGAATAGAACTAAGTCCTCAGGAATCAAAATAAGACTATTTAACGATTAGTGTGTGGTGGCACACCTCTAATCCCAGAAACTCCGGAGGCTGAGGCAGGAGGATTGCAAGTTCAAGGTTAGCTTCAGCAATTTAATGAGACCCTCAGCAATTTAGCAAGAACTTATCTCAAAATAAAAAAAAAAATAAAAAGGACTGGAGATGTGGCTCACACCAGTCTAATTCCCAGTACCCAAACAAAAAATACATTAAAAATAATAAAAAAGAACTAAAGTAAGCTGGGCATGCTAGTGCATGACAGTAATTCTAGGAATCTGGAAGGCTGAAGCAGGAGGAACAAGTCTGAGGCCAGCCTTAGCAGTTTATCAAGATGCTCAGCAACTCAGTAAGACTTTATCTCAGAGTAAAATATAAAAAAGACTGGGAATGTATCTTGTATATCACCCAAATCAATCCACATACCAAAAGACAAAAGTAAAACCAACCACCCTCCAAAAAACCCCCCAAACACTCCCCAAAACCAAAAAAGGACAAAACCATAAGTGACTGAAAAGTTACTGAGTCAGTCTAAGAAGTCATGCTGAGTGGGAAGTGAGTTTACCAACTACCATGACTGGACAAAATAAAACTATTTTAAGTACTGTATCTAGTGAACTGAAATATCACTTAAATGGTAACAAATACTATCTATAGGTCCAATGTATTTACAAACTAATGAGAAAACAATTATTCTGTCTTTAGAAACACAAAACATCACATACGCACACAACACACACACACACACACACACACACACACACACATACTGATGCAAAAGGCAAGAATTCCACACTACATTTGAAGAGTCATCCCCATTGCTGACATTTCTCTTAAAAACACATTGTTTTATCAGGCTGGGGCAAGACATCCTCCTCCAGGACTTAGTCCCCACCCCTTCAAAAATGGTTGTTAATAGGATATCTGAATCATTGAAGCCTTTGATAATCCCTAATTCCTACAGTTTACTTATGCTGTGGGAAAAAAACAAAAAACAAAACAAAAAAAACCATGCTGTGCTCAATTAGAAACCAGAAGTCCCAGGTTCTAGCTGAGAAGCAAAGCACCCAGCTGTTGTCTTTAAACTTGGTACATCAGTTTCTCCATCCACATGCAGCCGTGCAAAGGCCAAGCTAGTGCTGGGCAGCAACCAGTGCAGAGTCTCAGATTCTAAAGAGCTGTAACAGCACTCTTCCTAATGTGTAAGATATGGAGACATGTCCACTTTCAAACTAGGTGGCTATTTGGGGATTCTCCCCGCCCTTTTAAGACGGTTATAAAGGTTATTTTACTATGGTTTCTTATTCAAAAATGTAGAAAACAGAAAGAACAGAGTATAGTAGGGGTGACTCAAGACATTATCTCCCCCTTGTCTCATTAAGGGAAAAGAGGATAGAGATTTAAAAAAAAATTAAAAAGTACTTTAAAAGAAGACATGGCTACTTGATGGTAGCATCTTATATCTTCAGGGTCACTCACCCAAAACAAACCCCTCAAACCACCTTATACCTCCTTTTCAATATGAGGACTTTCAGGCCCAAGAACATAAACCTTGGGGTATACATTAGTAGTGAAATCAGATGCCAGGGGGAAAATCACCCTAAAACTTATTTATTTTTTATTTTCTAAAGTTTATTTAGAAAAAAGTTTCTAAAAATCTTTTGACAAAAGGCATAGGTTGATATAAAATATATCATAAATGTTTTAGAAATATATATATATATATACAAATTATATGTTAGTGTGTGTAACAGTGTATAAAACACAGGAGAGACAAGGATACATTGCTATAAATAAATTATCAAAACACAAAACTACTAACTATCTAGATTTATAGAAAGATCTCTGGTAAAGTCCATTCGGTGCTTGTTTTTTAAACAGAAAAGGACATCTAAATACACCAAAAACAATTCCATTTCAGAGCACTTTTGTATAATCTTTTAATATTCTGTTAGACACATAAAACCGCCTGCTGAAAACATGAAAATACTTTTATGTTTTTACAAGAATTTATATTTTATATTATCTACTACTGGGTAACTAAAAATGGAATTACATCATAAAAATTTTGCTTTGGTATTTTTTTCTACAAGAGGTGTAGACACAAAAATGTTCAGATATAACACTGAACAAAATATTAAAGGAAATGGGTATCTTTTACATTCCTCCCTAACTTAATTTAAAAACATACCTGACTCTTTGGCTGTAGCTCCTCTTTCCTTTGGATCTTCAGACACTATTAACTGTGTAAAGCATTGCCTTCCCAGGGACTTTTCTATAGCTGCTATCTAAAAATTTTAAAACATCAACCAAATAAAACACAAAAAAACATTTTTGGAAACTGTTGCATTAAATTAGAAACCTGAAATAACTTGAGAAATGTTTCTTTATTTTCTAAAACAGTCCATACAATAGACATGTGACAATATTTTCCCCATAAATATTTTCAAAAGAAACAAACTTACCCTGTGTTTGGATAAAAGAGGACTGTAGAAAAGAGAAAGAAAAAAATTTTTTAAAGTGCAGCATGCTTCCAAACAAATGTCACTGAAATGGCTATAAAAAAATACAGCTTCTCTGGATTCTAATATTAGCACAGAACATTTCCATAGCTGAAACATTACCACAGGGTTACATAGTTCAAAGTGCAGCTATATCATGTGTTAAACTCCTTAGGTAGCCAATTATTATTGAAAACCCCCAATGAAGCTATAAATGCTAAAATCCAGAAGTAAAACAGAGTGTTAACCTTTTGCTAATAAGGTACTTAAAGACAATTTCACACACATTTTTAAAATCTCAGTTTATGTCATAATCTAAAATAGATTAGGGCAAAAAATGATTTGTTAAAATTACCCATGGAAACAGATTACCAGAAAAGTAACTTTTTAATATTAAATTTTAGGTAATACCCAACATAATGGGATATGAGTATATCTAGCAAAGGCATGAACAAAAATGCATAGCCCCTTTATAATTCATAATGTTCAAAAACCAGGAGCAACTCACAGGTCTAGGAACAACACAATGAACAAGCTATTGCAAAGTCATAGAGTGAATCTGCACACCAGTAAGCACAGTAAACTTCCATTACATGCAACCACGTAATGCAACACAATGCTGGATACAGCAATCCTTATTCTGAGCAATATCATTGATATGAAATTACAGAATAGGCAAACAGTAGAACTCAGATAGTGGTGACCATGGGGGGAAGGTGAGTATGGACTTGGTACTCGAATGATGGAGCCTTCTGAGAGGTGGTATGTTCTGAATCTTGGATCTTTCTCTGGAGTGGTACTCATGTAGACATACATGTATGTGGAAAAAAACTTATCAAGCTTGTATGCTTAACAATCTATAACTTGAGAATATTCTTTAATATTAAAATTATGAGTAATAATTTGGGGCAATTATCTAAAGACACCACACTCATATTATGCTCAAAATATTTGTTTATTAAATACTTAAAACTTTTGTAACATGATAAGAAGTTATTAGTTCCATAGAAAGGGCAGTACTTAGAGTATTTGGAGGTTTTCTTTTCTTCTTTCTTCTTACTGGGGATTGAACCCAAGGGACACTCTACTATTGAACTACACCCCCATCCCTTTTTATTTTGAGACAAGGTCTCACTAAGTTGCCTAGGCTGGTATTGAACTCACAATCCTTCTGTCTCAGCTTCCCAAATTGCTGGTATTAGAGGTATGTGCCACTGTGTCTGGCATATATTATTTTGAAGTTCAAAAAAAATTTTTTAAAAGATTCCATGATTATTAAATGTTACAAGGTTGAAAGTTAACTTATTTTAATTTGCTAAGAAACTAGGTTATAACTCAGAATCCTTGAAAATACTGTTTTAAACATAAGAGAATGGTTATTGTGAGAGATGAATGAATCTAGAATCATTCTTCAAAGGCCATCTCCAAAACAATAAGGTCCCACAGCAAGTTATCTATCTTCTGCATGAACAAAAGCAACAATTACTTAGGAATGTTTCATTATTAATAAATAGAGCTTTTGTATACTCTTTGTGAGTCTGAGAGATAAAGGAGAAAAAGTTATTAACAGAACAGAAAGCCTTTCACTTTCATATTGAGGACTCAAGTCCCGAGCCTCAGAAGGCTGCAATGAACACTATCATGCCCCCTCATGTTCAGAACCTGAGTCTTCAAGTAATGAATTTAAAAAGCGGGGGTGGGAGTGGGGGGGTAAAATTAATAAAGAAGTCCTAATGTAGAATTAAGTTCATTTGGATTGCCTAATCTCTTACACAAAAAGATGTCAAAATTAGATGTTATATTTTAAAATAACTAATTATAAGAATCTTTTGAGCCTATGTAAAATGACTGTTCACCAAGGTCAATGTAAAAAACGGTAAAAGCTGAGAAAGAAACCTAAAATTTTATTATACCCATCTTAATTTCTGTAGTTGAAAATATCAACAAAACAAAGGCCCTTGTATTTCAATACTTCATACAATGCTTCTTCGACATTCTACTGTAACTCATTGCAACTAAATTCTGACATACTTACTCTTGATGTGTTGTGCAAAATTTAGCAAGCCGTTCAAAATCTTCACCATTAAATCCTTTTTCTGAATTCCTTAGTGGTGTAACTGTATGTGGTTGTACAGTTTTCCATTTTGTTTCTAAATTTAAAATATTTGTAAGTCACTGGCTCTTAAAAAAATATTTTGGAGGAAAAAAATGTTAACTGAACCACTGATAAAAATTAATATGCAAAATTATCTTCTCAAACACCAAAAAGTTAACAGAAATAGCTAAGTTATTATTTTGAAGTATAAGTAAATACCATCCCAGAGACTGAATTAGCCAATAGGGCATGCAATATGTTCAGAAGACATACAAATAGCTGCAAGTGTTCTTTTCTTGGCACTTAGTACAAAGAGCAAAATACAAAGAAAACAATTTTCTCACAGTGAAATAGACATGATAAAAATGCTACATTTTTTGTAAAATCTTTCCTTTTTGTCCCCCCCTCCCCCCGCCCTCATGATGCTGAGGATTAAACTCAGGGCCTGGTGCATGATGGGCAAACATTCTATTGAGCTATATCCCCAGTTCCATATTTTGCAATATTAATATGATTGGAAATTTCTGACTTATAAAACCAGGTTAAATGTGTTAACTTTCTTTTCTTGTTTTTCCCCTGGGGATTGAACCCAGGGGAACTTTACCATTGAGCTACATCCCCATCCCTTTTTATTTTTTTGAGACAGGATCTTGCTAAAATTACTTAGGGCCTTATTAAATTCCTGAGGCTGGCCTTGAACGTGCAATTTTCCTGCTTCAGCCTCCTGAGTTGTTGGAATTACAGGTATGTACCATTGCACCCGGCAAATAACAAATTTGTTAGATTAGAGATAGTTTCACATTCTGTATTAGTCTATACTCACCCCACTGTTCCTGAATGGCAGAAAGATTTGCAAGCAATTGCTCATGATATAATCGTTCAAGCTGAATGAATTTCATTGCTTTCTCATCTGAATTGAAAATTTGAGGAAAACAGAAATCCAGACTATTTACATTAAACCCTATATTTGAAAAACAATGTCTTAAACAAGGTAAGAGAGAGAGAGAGAGAGAGAGAGAGAGAGAGAGAGAGAGAGAACTCTAGACATTCTTAAATTTAAACATATCTAAAGTAATGATTCTTGGTTTTGACGTAGATAAATTTTATTCTAGTATATTATGAAGTAGCTACATGGATTCCATATTATCAACAAACAGCAGGAATTAAAAGGTTTTCATGCTCAAAGAGTGCCTGCTTGCTAACATACTTCTAGCAGAGTCAATAGAACCCACATGGAATCTGGGAGACTATTTGTTTTCCTTTTTGAAATTTTTCTCCTGAAATTACTTTCTGTCAAGCAACTATGTGACCCGAGACATAAGTGTTTGTTTCTGGTTTCAGCTAACCTTCATCCTTGACTTATTTCCCACTGAATGCTTTTCTCTTATAAGACCAAAAGACCACATGTCCAGACAATGGTGAGCAAAAATTATATGGATCTTTTCTAAAAATTTTAATTACCACAGTGATTTTCAAAAGTGTCATGTGATTCCAGTTTTATGTAGATCTTATTACAAACTTTTGCCTTCCCATCTGTATCACAAATATGTGCGTCTTCTGTGGTCAAGATACATTGTCCAATTTTCTACCTTCCTCTGGGCAGTGTTCTAAATGTTGACCCAGAAAAAAGAAAGAGAAAAATTCACAGTTTAGCTTTGCGTCCTTTCCATAAACACTCAGAGGTTCAGTTCTCCCTCTCATTTGTTGTCTTAAAGATATCCCTGGGATCCTAAAATAGGCCCAGGAGAAATGGGAACAATTTGTTCTTTCCTCTGCCATGTCTTAATTATACCAGTGTTTCTCAAACTTTCTTGAACATAAAAATTATCTGAAAAATTTGTTAAAATACTGATTCATGGGCTAAGGTTGTGGCTCAGTGGTAGAGTGCTTGCCTGCCATGTGTGAGGTACTGGGTTTGAGTCTCAGCGCCACATATAAATAAATAAAATAAAGGTCCATTGACAACTGAAAAAAAAAAAAAGAGGTGTGGTTGTGGCTCAGCAGTAGAGCGCTCGCCTAGCAAGGGCAAGGCCCTGGGTTTGATCCTCAGCGCCACATAAAATAAATAAAATAAAGGCATTGTGTCCAACTACAACTAAAAAATAAATATTTTAAAAAAATATTGATTCATGGGTCTGATCCCTCAGAAGCTCTAATTCTGAGGCCCATGAACTTGCATTTCTAGGAGCTTCCCAGGGCTGCTGATACTACTCTATATTGCTCTATATCAGATATTCATTCTTTGTTTAAGAAGAAGGGGTGGGGTGCAAGGAAAGGGAATGAATGCACACGTGTGAGTTCCCTCTTCATTTCACTAGAGTTCCAACATATTTAGGAAGCAAACTGTCATTGTTTGAAGTACCTCAGTTAATTTGACAGGGTTTAGGACAATAACTGATTATCCTCAATCTGGTCAGAAAGGTGAAAGTCAATAAGGTTAGAAAGAAAAGTAAACTGTCTATACAGTGTACACTAGGCCATCCCTTCAAAAGAAAAGCAATTTTCATTCTGTTTATTACTAGTGAAGAACTATTCTTTCCTTTGCAGCTATATACAGTCATGTACCACATAACAATGTTTTGGTCAACAATGACCTAACAACACAGTAGCCATCTTAGTATGACATTTGCAATGACAAAAATCACCTAATGATGCATTTCTCAGGACATATCCCCACTGTCAAGTAACACATGACTCTAGCTGTAATAAGATAGTCATGAGATAATGTGTAATATATCTGACATGCTCCATCATATAAATATCACTTGACTTTTATGTCTGTTTAATTTCAAAGAAAGAAAATCCAAAAGATTTTTACATCTTATTTTCAGCAAAATGTCCTTTTCCTCCTTCTTGAATATAAATATTTAATTTTGGTAAAACTAGGGTTTATTCATGGAAGGTCAACTTTGGGTGGTTTTAAAAGTTTTCTGGAGTGACAGATATTTTCAGAACCTTGCTTTCTGAAGTAGTTACGTGGGTACTAAAATTGTCAAAATCCACTAAAACCATATGATTTATACTTTTTATTATGTAGACCCCCATTTTAAAAATAAGGGTTTGGTGAGTTTCTATAAGGGTTTGGTGAGTTTCTTCCAGTAATTAAGAAAGGATACAGTCCTCTTCCTGGAAATAGGACTCAGCTATCTGTTAAAAACAAGCAAATGAAAAAGAAAGCCAGAGGAAATTAAATTACTATTTGGGTTTAATGACAAATTTGGAAGAAATAAAAATTTTGAAACTCTAAATGTTTCTAATATGAAAGTAAGAAGACTCTTAATTAACTGGTTCAGAAGAGCTTTGTAGGCACAGGAAACAATTCTAAAGTCTGACACATTTCAAGCTGAGCAAACACAGGCATTCTCCAGTCTTTACATAAACACATTCTATTGTATTTAGAGTCATAGCAATCTTCTTTCATGAGAAAAACGTTACAGAAGCTTAAAAAGGCATAACATGAATAAAAAGATCATTCTATTTATTGTGAATTAAAAAGCAAACATGCCACATCATGTGAGGCCTTTACATCCATTCATTTCATTTTTATTTTACCAACTATCAGCTGAAGACCTCATGGACACTAACTTTTTGATTCTGTTTTGATATTAAACAAAAGGCCAGGCCAAGTGCTCACAATTGAATAATGGTGTTTGGAATTATGTACACAGTGCTGCACATTGTACAGAACGCTAGTCAAGAGTTCAGAGCCATGTGTGTTGGCAATTACCTATGATCCCAGCTACAAGAATGCTCTCCTACAAACCTAAGATACCATTATTCACTTGTAGAAATCATACTTTGACACAATAAGATTATTTAGGATATTTCCTATACTCAAATTTCTTCCAGGTTGCTTCAAAAACAGATGCACTAAAATGGAGTAAACATATTCTAGCATCAGTGTTATAAAAACATGCTTTGTGATGGAGCCTTGTTTTCCCCCTTTGTGAATAGATGATAATCATACTTAATGCTCCAGGTTGTTTGGAGGATAAAACAACATGAACTGTGAATACCCTTTGCAAACTCAACCTACTGAGCAAACGCTACAGAGGCTGAAAGATTAGAAGGCTGCCTTGGTGCTGGAGTTCCTCAACAAAGACAAGTCAGTAATGGTTTAGGGGCCAAACAGCAGTACATGTTTTCTCAAAGGCCTGCCTCAAGTTCACAAAGGAGGAAATAGAAATTTCTAAAAATATACATTTTCCTACCTTGGGTTTATTTTTTTTTAAGATTTTACTATTTAATTTTGTCTCACATAAGTTAAAATGATATATAAGTAAATGTAAAAAGTAGAACTTTTTCCATTCCCACATATCAATTATTTTAAGTGGAAAAAAAAATGCAGTTTTATTTTTCCTGAATGGGCTTTTATGTAAAAAGGATTTCCACTCACTGGACAGTGAGTGGAAAGGCTGCCTATTTTCCAGGCTGTCCATCTTCCAATTTACCTTCCTAGTCATCAGAAGAATTATGTTTCTAAAGTTCAAACTGAATTTCAGGGAGCTAGGGCTGTAGCTTAGTGGTACAGCACTTGTCTATCATGCACAAGGCCCTGTGTTTGATCCTTAACACCACAAAACAAAAACAAAAACTATAAAAACAAAATTGGTCCTGAAATTTTTATTATTAAAAAAACGCCCAGCCCTTGGAGCTGGGGTTGTGGTTCAATGGTAGAGGACTTGCCTCGCATGTGTGAGGCTCTGGGTTCGATCCTCAGCACCACATAAAAATAAAGTAAACAAAATGAAGATATTATGTCCATTTACAAGTTAAAAAAAAATTAAGAAAAAACATATCTATTAAACAACAATGCCCAGCCTCTCAAACTAAGGCCTTATGGTCCCCAGCTATCAAGTCTCACCTGTCTCTTTTCCCACCTTAATCTCCAGCATTGTCCCAGCTGTGTCTTCCACACGCTGATGTCTCTTTTGGAAGCAGCTCACTGTGTCATCTGGTGAGCACCTAATCATCCTGAACAACCCAGCCCAAGGACCACCTTCTTTTCCCTAGTGCTTACAGGACAAAGTTAATCACCCATTTTGTGCTGCTAAACCTTGACCATATGTCTATTTCGACACTTAATACAGAATTCTACATTTAGGTATCTTTGTAACTTTCTCCTATTCTCCACAGCTCTTTAAAATTTTTTTTTTAAAGACAGATACAACATTTTTAAACCTTTATTTATCCATGTTTGTGTGGTGCCAAGGATCAAACCCAATGCCTTGCACATGATAGGCAAGCGCTCTACTACTGAGCCACAACCCCAGCTTCCACAGCTCTCTTAAGGACATTCCCTGATAATGATCTTCCCTCCCCCACCCTGTGTCTAGCATAATTTTGGCATCTAATCAGTGTTTACTAAGCTGTTGTCACACTGATTCCTATTTGTATACAGCTTAATCACTGAATAAAAGGTGTTAACCATTATCCAAATGATAAGATTATTCAAGAGCAAAGTGTGGTCACTAGTCAGTAATATGCCAATCCACCAGCCACTAATCCAGCCACTGGTCATCTTCATCTGGATTCAACAGCCCTAGGTGGGTCAGAAGCAATTACAGAACACTGGATTTTAGATGATTACAAATATTGGTATCAGAATTTAAGTGAAGCTGAAAGTGAAGGGTTTAATGTGGTACCTGATGAAGGCAAAGAGGAAGTGCTCTTGAATCCAACTGCTCAACTTCGCCTCGTATTAGTGAAAACAGAGATTGCAGAACTAGATTTGGAGCTTCTGGTTGGTCATTAGCATTTACTTCAGTAGCCTCTTCATCACCAACAGGATGTGTGGCTGCACTTAATATCTTTGTTTCCATCAAAGGTGTAGTATCTCCTGAAAAAAAGTGGATCATTTTAAAATAATTATGCCTATTAATCACAAAACTCTCAAATAAAACTGACTATAGGAAAAAAAACAGAAACCACAAGTTATTGGCCTTATTAAATTAAGATTGTGGCACTTATTGCCACTATTAGCATAAATGTAAACAATTTTTGCAGAAGTATAATTAAGGGTATTACCAAAAAAGGAAGCCAAAGAAAAACATGCAAGTTAAAACCTGACTCCAAACTTGATTCTCCCAAAGGCAAATTATATTATTTATCATTAGACTCAAGGCTTGCAGAAAATAAAACAGAACTAAACAGGAAGGTAAATGAGTTATCCTATGACATGGCTAAAGATGTTGAATATTTTCTTTTTAAACTCCAGAACTGTGTCCAGAGTCCAGGAGAGTAGTGGGAATTCAGATGCCAGAGCCAAGAGCCAATAACATACTTTTCCGGATTAAAAAAAAGGGCTAAACAACATAAACCTTTGGGGAAAAAAAAAAATCACTAAATGCTTGACCCACAGCTCCTGAAATATGCAAAAATTTTTAAAAATAATCAATTATAACTTCACCCATGACCAAAATCTCAGTATCAGTTCTAATATTCATGTTCAAATTAAAAAGTTCATCTGCCTGTGTATCTCCTGCTAGTTTGTATCAGAAAGGATCTTTTTCAGTAATATGGCCTGTATATACCACATCCAGGCTGCCCTCCCTTGACAGAGTGCCCAGAAGCCAGCTGGCCTGCTTCTGCCCTCCAAATAAACCCAGTATTTGCCTTCCAAATAAACTCAGACTGGTCCATTCTTCAATTTCCTAGTAAAATATTCTGTGCTTTCCAAAGCAATTACGGATCCCATCAATGCGTATTCATGTTCTACCCCGACAAGCTCTGTATCCTTCCACATAACATGAGTTTGAAACGAGTTAATTTCCTTCTGAATTCTGTAAATGGTATTATATTATACGGGACTGCATTATAGTAATTGGTGTGAAATCTTGTCTTTATTGGATCATAACTCATGTAGTTTGCAGGGGTTAATTTATAAGTGATGCCATTCCAATTACATTCAAGGCAAGTGTCTTTCAGCACTAAAATTCCAAGTTATCACTATAGTGATAACTTATATTTTGGAGAATTCTACAAACTCTGTCAGTTGATCTTTAGATATACAAGGCCAGTGATGGCTTCCCATTTTGTAGAGACAGTATTTAAAAACATAAGTGATTCTTTGATTTTTCCAATTTTCTAACCACATGGTAGTGGGACCAAAAGAATATCAATGTGGTACTTGACATGGTGGCACATGCCTGTACCTGTAACTTGGGAGATTGAGACAGGAGAATATCAAGTTCAATGCCAGCCTCAGCAACTTAATGAGACCCTGTCTGAAAAAATAAAAGTGGTTGGAGACATGGCTCAGTGGTTAAGTGCTGTGAGTTCAATTCCTGGTACAAAGAAGCTTTCTGTAGATAACTGCAAAGAAACGAGGAGAACGGTGTTTTCTTCCACTCTTCCCAGCCACGGCACTATGCCCAACTATGCTTAAGACATTCAACCTCAAAATGACTGTGAGAAAACCAGCTTCTCATACACTGTTCTTTTGATTAAATTTGCTCCATATGGTTATCAAGATATTATTCTATGCTTCTTATTTGTTAAAAAAAAATGCTGAGGCTGAGGTTGTGGCTCAGTGGTAGAGTGCTCATCTAGCATGTGTGAGGCCCTGGTTTGATTCTCAGCACCAAATAAAAATAAAGATATTGTGTCCAACTACAACTAAAAACTAAATATTTTTTTAAAAAAATGGCTGAAATTTTACTTGTAAAAAAATGGCTCATTTTCACTAACAGGGAATTAAATTAAATCCCTTAAGTCAATTATCAAAAATGAAAGGACCCTCAAATGTAAATAAAAAGGAAATGATGATTTCTTTTTCTAAAGGAGGCAGAAAAATGGTTCTGAATTGTGATTATCTCAGATTCATGATGGTCAAGTTTCCTGAATTACTTCAATAAGCAATGTTACTGGTATGTACACGTTATAAACAAGCCATATATCATTATATAGAAGTATGTAAGCTTGGCATAGTGATGCACTTCTATAAACTCAGTGACTGGGGAGGCTGATGCAGGAGGACTGCAAATTTGAGAGCAACCTCAGCAACTTAGCAAGACCCTCAGAAGCTTATCGAGTCCCTGTCACAAAACAAAACAACACAAATGACTGGGAATGCAGCTCAGTGTTAAAGCATCCTTGGGTGTACTAACATAAATAAATAGGTAGTCAAAGACATTTGAATTGAAAGATGACTTTTAATTATAAAATACAACCAAGATAAGTCCCAAAAGTCTACAGGAGTCCAGGATTCTAAGAGCAACAGAAAGCTGAAATGGGTGATTATAAAGAAGATGCCTAGTGTGGGGAGGGAAAGGAAAATACGACCTTATCTAGACCCAAGATAGATCAAGAGGTCAGCAAAAGTCACCAGACTAATACCACAAAAGGATTATCTTCCAGGGCTTAAAGATCATGAGCTTCAGAGATAAATGAACTACACCACCACCTTACCCCTTGAGATAATGTTTTTTGCTGGGACAGAGTATGTAATATAAATCACAGGGCACTGGAGCAGGGTTTAGGGACTTGAGTTCTGCCATTATTTTTCCAAGTGACCTTGGATCATTTTTCTTTTTTTTTTTATATCAGAGATTGAACCCAGGGGTGCTTAACCACTGAACCACATCCCCAGCCCTTTTTGTATTTTATTTAAACAGAGGGTTTTGTGAGTTGCTTAGGGGCCCACTAAGTTGCTTAAGCTGGCTTTGAACTTTCGATCCTCCTGTCTCAGCCTCCAGAGCCACTGAGCCTGGTGGATATATCACTCTTCCTAGCTAAAGTTTCATTATCTAAAATAAAGGGACTGGCCGCTTGATCTCTTAAGTCGTTCCTAGATCTGACTGTCTAAAACACTCAAAATACCCATAGAGATTTTGGTAATTAAGAAAATAAGGGAGGGGGCTGGGTTGTGGCTCAGCAGGAGCGCACTTGTCTGGTATGTGTGCGGCACTGGGTTCGATCCTCAGTACCACATATAAATAAATAAAAGGTATTGTGTCCATCTACAACTAAAAAAATATTTAAAAGAAAAAAAGAAATATAAGGGGCTAGGATATAGAGCTTGTACAGTATGTGAAGCCCTAGGTTCTCTATCTAACACAGAAATAATGCAGGGAGGAGAGGGAAAGCAAGGGGGAAAGAAAAGGAAAACTTAGAAAATAAAGAAATACACACTATCCTTATGAACAAGATTGAGTAATTATTTAAGAAAACTAAAAGGTAAGGTTTCCCCCCTAATAAAAATGTCTTGAAGTTCTCCTACTAATAAATAGTCTTGCGCAAAATGTCTTAAAGTTCTCCTACTAATAAATAGGCGCGCGCACACACACACACACACACACACACACCACTGTTCTTCCTCTTTTGCCTAGATTGTTTTTTTAAAAAGTTATTTTATATTTTGGGAACTGGGGATTGAACTGGGCACTCAAGCACGAAGCTGTATCCCTAGCCCTATTTTATTAAAAATATTTTTCATTATAGATGGATACATCACCTTTATTTATTTATTTATTTAGTACTGAGGATTGAACCCAGTGCCTTACACATATTAGGCAAGTGCTCTACCACTGAGCTACAACCCCAGCCCTCTCCAGCCCTGTTTTGTATTTTATTTAGAGACAGGGTCTCACTGAGTTGCTTAGCACCTTGCTGTTGATAAAGCTGGCTTTGAACTGGAGAACCTCCTGCCTCAGCCTCCTAAACCACTGGGATTATAGGCGCATCAGGTGTGCACCATGGTGCCCGGATTTTGCCTAGATTGTTAACTGCATAAAAAGTAGCACATTCGATTTTTAAGGCAAGAAAATAAATCAAATTTTGTTGCAAAAAGAGTTCCACACTGGGTGTGGTGGTATAGGCCTATTAATCCCATCCCAGCAACTCAGCAGACTGGGGAGGAAGGATGGAGACCCTGTCTCAAAATTTAAAAAATATAAAAAGGACCGGGGAATGTAACTTGGTGGTACAGCGTTCTAGTACCGGGAGGAGGGCAGGGGAAGAATTCCATAACATTCCATACTAAAGAGTAGATTTTTATTTCTAGCTGTGCCAAACTTTGAGGAATAGAATTCTATTGTGGTTTAAATAATCGCATAAGTTGCCATTAGTGCTATTAAACATCAAGGACACATTTTACCTTAGGTAAACATAAAATAAACATTTAGCCATATTCTAGTTTCATGGAATTGTAAACTATGAAAAATATGGCCTTATTAGTTTTATGGTAAAGAATTCATATTAGAAAACTACCTATTGCTCGCTCAAGATTTAGAAAAAGAATGATATGAAAATCAGAGCAGCAAGCTTCCACTGCTTATTTTATGCACCGTTACCAAGTTACATAATCTCTTTGATCCCCTGATTTCTTTCTCTGTAACATGGGAAAAATAACATCTGCCTTAAAGATTATTGTAAGGATTAAAAGAGACAGTGTGTACAAGAAGCAGGTGTGCTCCCAATCCTCAGCCTAAAAAGAGGCTTCACTGTCACTTGAGTGAAAAAGGTCACAGGATTGTTGAAACACTTCTGAAATAGTCCATTTTTTTTTAATTAGAAGAAAAACATTCAGAGGCAAGGATAAATGAAACTAATAAAGCTTATACTCCTAAAGTCACAGAATATAATAATAATAATAATATAATATAATAATATAATATAATATAATATATAATATAATATAATTATAATATTAACACTATATATAGTGTTATTATATATAACTATGTTGGATTATTAAAATGCTTAGTTTATTTCCACCAATACTATTGTTTGAACATGATTGAACTTGTTTTGTTTTCTTTCTATACAGTAACATAGAGTATACAGTCTTTTCAGGTTGGCTTCTTAGTAATATGCATTAAAGTTTCCTCCATGTCTTTT